TCCACAAGCGTGAGAAGCGATTGGTTCCACAAGTTCATTTGATAAATCAATTTTTGTTGTCCCGTTGGAGTCTTTATAGTGCTTGCACTTGAGATAAACAACACCCGTTGAACTTGTTCTATTTTTTATGTGAGTGAATTTCCCAGATATATAAATATATAAATAAATAAATAAATAAATATATATATACATATATATATATATATATATATATACATATATATATATATATATATATATATATATATATATATATATATATATATATATATATATATATATATATATATATATATATATATATATATATATATATATATATATACATATATATTATATATATATATATATATATATATATATATATAAATTAATTTCTACGATCACCTTCAACTTTTTGATATTCCATTTTGTTAGCAGACAACAAAAAATTGACTAGCAAGTTAATTTATATGAGAACAAGTAAACCGCAAGCTTTTTCTTTTGTTAGTTACTTTTGTTTGTTACGTTACTTTCTCTTGTTTATTTTTTTGTTGTTATTTAGAAATCAATTGATAGGTGTTTGAAGTTGATAATTTTAACTGAATGTTTTATTTTGTAATATGGAAAAGTACTCTCAAGTTCTTTATATAAAGGAGGGGAGAGGGGGAGGGCATTTATTAATTTTTGGAAAACTATTCCAACCAATCAAGCTATCAAGTCTCCCCTCCCCGTTTATAAATTTTTACTTGTTATCAACAAAAGAATGTTGATAACAAATAAAAAATCTCAAATCTAAAACATCACCATGTTAAATCCTTTTGATATTTTGATAAAACAGCTGTTAGAAAATACGCATTTGACCCTAATAATGAACAAATATTTATTATCTTTTTTAAGGTATAATATTTAAGCAAATAGTTTATAAAGACGAATATCAGTGTTTTTAATTTTCTAATAGAACAAAAAAACATCATAATATTAAAACATTTATTTTAAGTAAGGAAAAATTAATAAAAAAATTTAGATTAATATGTATGCAAAATAACAAAAGTCAATGTTGTCCCTAAAACGTCATTGAAGGAATAATTTCCAAAATACTGAAATTTAATTCGATCTTTAATTTCAAAATCGTAAACTTCGTTTATTTGCCTTGAATCATAATATCCCTGTGTCATATGATGACATCGGGAAACCTCAACATCATTGACAATAATACTAACATATCCAGTTGAAGAGGTGTATGCAATGTATTTCATAGATATTTGTACTAGGCATTTCTTAAGTAAAGTATAGGTACTTATACCATCATACTGAAAATGTGTTTCTAAATCTTTTTTCAAACCATTCCAATTAAAATATCCTCCGTTTGAAACACTACTACTACATGCAGTTTTAAGATAAAGTGGAAATTGAGCAAACTCTAATTTGGCTTTTTCTTGAGTTTTTTTTTCGTACTCTTTGTCGATGAGTTTTTGCACTTTTTTCCCTAACTCCGGCAATCCATAAAATTGAGCATCACATTTTAACATTTTAAGTAGTCCTGGGTCATTTATTTGTGAAAATAATTTTCCGTATGTTAAATACTCCAAAACAAAACGAAACGTGTGAGGATCTCTGGGGATAAAGATCTTAGAGGGAGCATCGGTCAGTTTTTTTTCTTTTGTCCATTCAAACACGTGAAAATAGCTATTAGAATGCGACAGTAAAACGTCAAAAGTTGTTTCAAAATTACAATTTCCTACTTGAACCGACACCCGTTGATTTTTCTCAAAATGATTTGAAAATATATTGTCTAGATAATCTTCACGTACTTTTAATTGCGCTTCTTTTTCATTTAGAGAAGTTTCTCTTTCATCCAATTCCTTTCCTTTAGTTTCCAATGCTTTAGATAATGCCGTAGACACCTCTTTACTGAAGTTGGAAATAACTTTAGACCCAGACATTTTCAACTTTGTATTATTCTGAAAATAAACTTGTTGATTAACTTTCCAATACGTTTTCTAAAATATATTTTATATCAGGTATAACGAATTTGAATATAAATACAATAAATAAACGATAATTATTTACTTTATTTGGTTGGTTAAAGTTTATTCAAAAGATAAATTAAAGTTGTGAGAAAATATTTTTGATCAAATATCTTGTTCCCTAATTTTAGCATTCTAAACAAAAGTCAGAGATACCAATCAAAAATATATATTTTTTAAAAGTATGGAAAAAGTATACTAAAAGTTCAATAATTAAATATTATATTTTTTGCATAAAACTATTCTATATATAAAAATACGAGTGTAAATCCATTTTTAAAAAACCTGTAAAACCATGATTAAACTCTTTCCTAAATATCTCCGACGGAGATTGTTGAATTATCAAGCAAAGTTGTGTTAGGGTTGTCGTTAGATTACGTAACGCTAAATTTTACTAATAAACGAATACAAAAAGGTTTTAAAATAAGAGTATTTATAAATGGTTTCGCTAACTCTAAGTTCGCCGAACAATTTTACGTAATCTTTTTTTTGTTTTAAGGAATTGTTGTTTAATTATTATCTAAATATGCTTTAAAATACAACCAAACGGTCAAACATTACTTGGTTTTTAACCACCTGAAATTATTTGAAAGACGTATTATAGCAATATGTTTTTCTTTAAACGTTAAAAACTACGTCTTAGTTTACTTAATAAAAAATGTTTCTAAACATGAATCAACAATTAAGTATATAAAGTTTAAATTAAGAAGTTTCTATAAATAAACTATTTTATAATAAACTTCAATCTTTCAGTTTTTCTTTTTATAATAAACTTCAATCTTTTCAGTTTTTCAAACTTTCAATAAAAATCAATAGTATTATTAACATCTTAGCTTACCCCCTTTTATATGAAAATCTTGAAAAAAAAAAAGCGTTTTAAGTTAACGTAAGTTAATGGAGATTTGATAAGATTTAATATTGTAATCGTATATTATTCGCTTGTAAAGATAAACTAATTTGCCGTACAACTATACAGCATTAAAATAAAAGTAAAAAATATGTTAAAAATAGTTGAAAAAATAATATTCTTTTAACCGTTTCTCCAGATCAAAAAGATCAAAAATCCTCTGAACAAGTTCATAATTTAGTTAGCAATATTTTAAATTAACGTATAACAATATTTTAAATCACGGCGCAACGCAGTGGGACAAAAACTAGTTTTTTGTGCCAAAATTTCTTTTGTAGTTTTTTTTTTCTTTTATTAAAATAGCTATATTTATATATAAACTGCCTAAATGAAGTAATAAACATGTAATGATATAAAATTGAAAAAATTAGAAAATTAAATTTCGGTGATAAATACGAAGTATTTTTAATGGACAAGATTAATTTTATCAGTGTTAACATCAAAAACATTACTTTTCATTACATGTATTTGTCATAAAATAACTTTTTTAGATTTATATTTACAGAACTTATATTTTATAACAGAAATGAAAGATTTTGTAGATATTCTTTGTGAACGAAACACCTTTTTTACATGTTCAGTATTTCATATCAAGTGACCAATAATTGAAGACCAAGGATTCGTTATAACTTTTTTTATTTTAAAATCTTGCAAAATATTTATGATGCATGGCTATTTACATACATTTAGCATGAGAATTACATAATCAAATGTTTGGAGGATATTGGAGGTTGGTTTATCTGATACCGAATTTTTGGAAGTGGTCTCTAAATGTCCCGTGTTTTTTAAATCGTGTTTCTTTACAAATAAAACAACTTATTTTTTTTTTACTGTTTTTAACACTATTACACACTACAAAACCTGATTATTCAAGTTTAAGAATATATAAATCATACCACTTAAAAATAAAATTATAAAAATGTATTTACTAATATTTACTTTTCGTATGAGAATTGGAAAAGCGTGGAGCTGCACCAAGTCTTACATTATATTCTAAACATTCATATCTTGAATCTCTTTGAATTATGTGTTGCATGCATACATAATTTCACCGCACACCTTTTTTGAGCATTAATCTTTAATTATCATTTTTTATAATCATTCATCAAATATATCTTTTCATTATTGATTTATGAAATATATAATTTTTTATTTTTTAGTGAGTAAGTATTTACATTTTGGTAATTTTTTTTGCACTGAAAGATCTTACCTACTTGTCATATTAACTACTTTATTTGTCATATTATGACATATTATCAGAACATATGATCATATATATAAGAACTACCTTATTTTTTATATTTAAAATTAAAGTAAACACGTGTAAAAGTGAAATATTGAAAAAAATGCATGGACTGTTCACGGGTTAATTTCAAAATAAGCAATTCCGTTAACTATACAAAATAAGCAAACGTTTTTCAGTCATTCTGTTGCCGTTTTCATAACCCTCCGTTAAACTAACGGAGAATTTGAGTGTCCGTTAAGAAAAAAACTTTCAACGGTCGGTTATAAAACGGAGGAAAGTTAATGTTATTCTAATCATTTTGTTTAGAGTCCGTTTGTTACTAAGATGATTTTTTCAGTTAAAATTTTCTCCGTTAGCGAGCTCTGTTAACTAGTTTTCGTGCTTTTTTTTCGAGGCATTTTAGCGTTGTGATGCCAACAGACATTAAAGCTGTTTAATTGGGAAATTGCAGCCGTTGATTTGTTTTCTAGTACCTGCAGCGTAAATTTTAAAATCTTAATTAAAACACGTTACAATATAAAATAACTTTTATAATTTATGACATAGAAAATATTATGACATTGTCCAAAATGTTGCAAAACAAAATTAGCACGAAATCAAGATTTATTTTCGCAACTATGTGTTCATTATTACTTTCATAATTTTCAATTGGATTGTTATCCATGTCCACATCATTTAACTCTGTTGCTAAACTTTGCAATACAGCACTCGCATCAATTATGGTGCAGGTTCTTTCGAGGGTCATTTGAACCTCTTTATGAAGCAAATGAAACCGTCTTTTTCACCTTTCAAACACTTGCTTAATTAAAACTCTTGTTCTTCTTAAATATATAATATATCAATGCTGAGCTGCTGTAGTTGGACTTAGATACGGCGTAAGCAACCAACGAAAACATGGATATCCGAAATCGCTAAGTAATAAACCTTTAAGTGTTCCATCTATCATTTTTTTACTAAGCTTTGATTCTCTTAAAATTCTTGCGTCATGTGTTATTCCAGGCCATTTTGCAACAATATCAATGAACTTTCCGTTATAATCACACACCACTTGGACATTGATCGAATGATTTGATGATCTATTGACATAAACATATTCGTACTTGCGTGGTTTTTGTATGGAAACGTGCGTGCCGTCTATTAATCCAGTTATTCTCGGAAATTCTGCCACATTATAAAAAGTTACTCTGCTTTCATTTAAAACATGTGGATCAGTTGGGTACTAAATGTATTCATTAACTCTTTTTGCAAGACTCAAAGAAACACGGCAAATAATTCTAGGGATATTTAGTTGACTAAAAGCTGTTGTAAAATCACCAATCACAATCTAAAATGATCCTGTTGCATAAAATCGAAGAGCGCATAATACTTGATAGATTGACGGAACACAAAAACTTTGATTTGACTTTGGTTGTAAATCTATTTTCAGCAAATTTTCCAAATGGAAAATAGAAGAACGACGAAACCTAAACCTTTGATATAAGTCAACATCATCATAAATATCAAGTGGGTTGGTTCGGTCTTTAAATAACCTTTTACGTCTAAGACCTTGCCGGACTGCTATTTTTTGACGTCTTACTTCTGCGAAAACTAAATGCATAAGAACGAGTCGAGGCATTGTCATTGAATATTTTCTATTCTTACAACTTTCAGTTTTATTTTTAATAGACCATATACATGTTATTGCGACAAACAATAACCTGCGACACAGACTCGTTACAAAAAATAATTTCGTGGCAATGTTCCACAAATACCATAATAGTAAAAACACTTGTTACCCTAGGCAATCTATAAAATGTTTCACTATTCATTAAAATTCTAGACTAAAAGTCTAGACTAAAGCATAAGGCACACAATACTTTATTTTAATGACATTACAAATTTATTACATACTGTTTATTTTAATTTAATTAACATATTTTAATCATACAATTATTAGTATCCCATGTTTAAGTTATTAGTATATTATATACAGATTGTAAGTTAGAAATTTTTTTTAAAACAATGGCAGTATTAACTATGAAAATTGAGAAAAAACGTGCAGCCAGAGGAAAAGTGTATGTCTCAGAAGTGAAATGGTTGGTAATTTCAAAGTTTTAAGAACATAAAGATGTTCTTTTGTCTAAAGATGGAAAGGCGGAGATAAATAAACGAAGAAATCGTATATGGAATGAGGTAATCCTTTATATTATATATATTGAATAAAATATTTAGTTTAGGCAGCATTATAAATTTTGGTACTTATGTGTATTTTAGATGACCGATGCTGTAAACAGCTTAGGATTTGATAAAAGAACAGTTACCATAGTTACCAGTGTCAAAGGTTTTTGCGATATCTTCTTAAAAATGCCAAAAAAGAGATTTCATCAACAAAAAAATTCCAAGGGGGGGAGGACCAGCAATTATTTTAACAGAAATCAGCCAGAAAATATTGGATATATATGGAGAAAATTCTCCAATAATTTTTGGTTTGGAAGAGGTGAAAATCAATAGCATCGATTTTGTTTGCGATATACAGAATACTGTTAATCCAGTTGAATAATGGTGCAAGTTATACTATGCTACACACTGCAATTACATCAGAAAATGGGAACAAAGACAACTTAGGACAAACTAAACGATCTACTGTGCAAGATGATGATATATTAAAAAACGACCAAAAAACGAAAAAAAAAACTCTCTCCAGCTCTCCACCTACCAACTGTTGATATAAAGAGTAACTTAACTGAGGAGAAATTTAAATTTAGGGAAGAAGTGCTAATGCTACAGGCTGAAAAAGAGTACTTTATTTCTAAAAAGGAGTTTTTGGAGTTAGGAAAAAGAAACGCATCTTTAAAAGAAAAAATAATTTTATTAAAAAAAGATTTATTAAAATAAAAAATTTTAGAATGGCACTTAAAAACATTATAACTTTCTTGTCAATTAATGTAACACCATTTTTGTAAAACTTATTTTTTGTATATTAATATAAGCACATAAAATAACTATTTATTTATTTTCAGTTGTGAATTTACTTAAAACTTCCCCAGTTTATAGGTTCATTTATAAGATTCTAAAATAAAATAATACAGTTACAGTAAAAAATCACTAATATAAAATGATATATAATTGTTAATCATTAATAATTATAACAGTTTTTATATAATACATAGATAAGTTTTAATACATAACAAAGTCTTTTGAAAATTGTTAAAAAGTTTACATAAAAACTAACAAAAAAGACAATCGTGTTCTTCAAATGTAAATATTTAGTTATGAAAATTTGTAAAGCCGAGAAATGTTCAAGAAAACGATTTCAAGTTCTAAGTTATACAACATAAACAACAAAAGAAAAAATCCATTCTTTTTTACTTTGTAAGATCGATTGAATCTTTGCAATGGATCATAATATTGTGCAAAATCAACTTATAATATTTCAATGTCTACATTACTCATAATCTAAGATTCAGAAATTAATATAAGAACACACGCACACGGACACACACACATATATGTATATATGTAAATATAAAGTATAAATATGCGTTCGTAATAGTATATACTATTAAAAAAAAATTCATTTGTTTTCATGATAAATGAATGTATTTATTATAAAATAAAAAAATATCTCATTAAAATACATAATAGTTTTTATATAATAAAGCTTATTTAGCATAAAATATAATATATTTCATATTATAATATAATATATCTTATATTTTAAAAAATTTTATAATTTAAAATATAATTTATTTTATAACATAAAATATAATATATTTTTATATAAAGCTTATTTAGCATAAAAATAAACGTATTTTTAAGCTATATAAGCAGGGTTAGAATTTGGCGTTCACAGCCTTCCGATAACTAAATTTTCTCATGCCGTTAACTAAACGAAGACATAAGAATAAGAGTTTATTTTATCGCTGGCCTTAAAAACTGCCCTTTTGCTTTTAACCTGCCGATAGCTTATCGCAGGGTTTAACGGAGGGAAGTGAATACGGCTGCTGGCTAACTTTGAATTTGCGGGTAACATTGAATAAAATGTGTAAATGTTTTTAAATTATTTTTTTGGTATTTTTTTTGCCTGTTGTTTTAACAAAAGATAATATGATAAAATATCTTTTTTTTTTCAAAAGTTTGACCATAGATAATTTAATTTTGTTTCTCAAAAACTATTTTTCCCTCGGTTTCCAGTTACACAGTCGAATGTGGTAATAATATCGTGTGTTGTCAATTTAGAATATTTGTTACTACATTGTAAATATCAAAATAGATTTTTTAGTATTTTATTAAAATATTTTTCGAATTTTAATACAAACTCAAAATAATAATAAGTAACATGTTTTTTGCTGCTAAAAGGGTATTTATTTTTACTTCGCTAAAATATAACCCAACTCAAAATAAGTTTGAATAATCAATGTTTCCTTAAAGTGCTTTCGTTACTGTCTGAGTAACATTGCAATAATGCATAATATTTAATAGACATCTTTTTATTATAGTATTTTTACTACGTAATAATATATATATATATATATATATATATATATATATATATATATATATATATATATATATATATATATATATATATATATATATTTATATATTTATATATATATATATATATATATATATATATATATATATATATATATATATATATATATTCATATATATAATATGCATATATAATATATACATACACTATATATGTATATATGCATACATAATATAAATATATATAATGGATGATGTTTTACAAAATAATGATTTATCAAGTTTTTTTACCAATCCATGTGATTTAAAGAGTTTGAATATTTTTTATATTAAAAAACTTTTATTAAATTTTTAAAGATTTTTCTAGTAAAGTTGTATAAAAAAGAATTTGTGCATGCTCCTTTAGTCCATGATATTGGTTGGTATTATGATCAACATAAAAATTTAGCAAATTATAGCAACTGTATAATGTATCATAATGTGCAGTTTAAAGTTGTATTTTTCTGTTAGCTATTTTACATGAACAAAATTTTAATATATAAGTATTTTTTCTATTATATTTTCTACTATACTTTTCCAGTTGAAAATGTATTGTAGGGCATGCAAAATGTTCATTCGAGCTGTTTGGATATTTGCTTTACTATTTCCCAAATGTTTTCTATGGGGTTAAGATCATGCGAATTGTCTGGCCATAGCAATACATCAACTAAGCCATAACAGTTTTTATTGTGTGGCATGTTGCACCATCTTGCATAAATATAAGATTTTTGACATTATTTTTAATATTTTTGAATTTTTTTGTCACTTTTTGACTTTTTTGGCTGGACATCAGTCCCTCTTCTTTTAGCCTTCTACAAATGGTCCGGTCTGACACAACAATTACAGCTTCATGGGTAAGCTTAGTCGCTTTTTTTCTCTTTTACAGGCAGATATTTCTGATTATACTGTCCGCTCTTGGTGTTTTTATTGCGTTTAGAAGGTGGTCTCCTTGGACCAAACTCTTTCCCTGTATCAATTCTTTTTCTTACTTGCATTACGGTTTGGTAGGAAACCTTTGCGGTTTGTGCAATTTTTCATTGAGAATAATTTGTATTTTGGAAAAGACATTTTAAACTTATTTTTATTTTAAGTAGGAAACCAATATATTCCTCCAGAAAGTTGATCACCAGATTGTCTTTCCAGAATAACTAACAAAGAATAACAAATCACCAGGGGCTAGACACCCCTTTGCCCCCCTCAGGACAGCCCTGGGGAACATGGGTGAAAGAATTTTTATTGCTTCAAATATTTTAGCTGCAAATCTTACTGATAGGCCAATAGTGAATACTTAAGTTTCCATTTCTAATGATAGTATTGGTGTTAAAACTGCTCCTGCCATTTCACCATCAACATCATTTAATTTATGAGAAAGGGCTCCTGTGAGTTTACCATCAATATTATTTATTGTTTTACCTAAATAATACGAACTAATTCCAAAGCCAGGTTAAGAATAACAACTAATACAAAAAAACACATAATAGGTGTAAAAGAAAATTGCATATTTTAACTGATACACCTAAAATAACAAAACAGAATATCTTTTAGTTTTTAAATGATGAAAGTTCTGATGAAATTTATTATAGAGTAAATATACTTACTTTAAGTAAAATTTTTCCGAGTTTTTTAATCATCAAGTTGGCCGAAATAAAATAGATAAAGCTAGATAGAGCCTAGATAAAGCCTAGAGGCTTTATTTAGCAGAAGTTATAGAAGTTGTTGGTGTAGTTTACAAAATTAAGTATTATAAGAAATCAGGAGACATTTGTAATAAATTTATATGAGACGATGACGATTTTACCATTCTACAGAATTTAAATATACATTATTTCTTCTAAGGCTTGTTTCTAATAATAAAAATTAATTTTTAGTTTAACAGGTGTTTCGTTTTTTTTATATTTAGTGTATGACAGCATGCAACCTTAATCAAACTTTTAGCCTGACAAAGTGTCTCATAACTTGTAAAGTATGTTGAACTTTTTGTTTAAAAATAAAGTTTTTTTATTAGCTTTTTTCAGAACTTTTTATTGATTAATTTCTCTACTTTGTGTAAAAATTTCTTTATAAAGTCTTTATGATATTTGAAAAAAAAACTTTTATAGC